AGTTCCATTGCTACTTTCAATTTCTTTTTTAGAATGATGGCAGCGGCGCTTGCATCCTGCTGCGTTGAATGTTCTTCCAAAAATTTTTGGATTTTGTTTATTTTTGTTTTAATTGCCCCACGTTGGCGATTAAGACTTGTTATTGAATTAATTGTGCTCATATTGAGCTGGTTCCGCTCCGGCTCGACGGACCAAAGATGTCGGAGCTAATAGAGTCAAATGGACTGTAACGTTTGGTAATTTTTTATTGAATGTGAAAAGAACGCTAGAAAGCTACGCTTGGCGCATTACAATCTCGCCAATGAGGGCGTGGACAGCCTTATGACTGCTTTTTTCTCACGATATTTCTCAGAATACTGAAAAAACATGTACTACAATAGGTTTTTTGAAACCCAATTCACGTGATACTGCTACGCCCCGATCGCTGATTCCTTTCTGTCCTGCCAATCCGATAGTTTTCGAGATTGGCTGGCATTCGCGAGGTCTTTACGCGATGATTTTGGAATCCTAGACGTTCTATTGTAGTCTTTGAATCAATTCGAGAATTTTGAAGACGCGGTGAAAAATTACATAAAAGGTGGAACGGAGTACAAAGTTAGTCAGATTAAGAGTTATCGCGCTAATTTTCCCTAATCGATACCCGAAACATATTTCAGAGTTAGTGTATTAATTCCATTTATAGAAAACACAATTAGACTTAAGATTTGTATCGCATCGAGATATTTCGAAGGGATTTCAGTGCCTTCTTCCTGCCGATCCCTTCATTTGCCAACCTTCAAATATAAAGGCTTTTGAAGAACTACGCTCAAGATTTGAATACCTGTAAAGAAAGTCTTTAGTCTGGTACAAAGGATTAGTGAAGACGGAGGTAGTGTTCCAAAAACTGCTGTGGATGCTCTTGGAATGTGCAATAAAGATATAACACCGTTCTACCTGTTTCAACGAGTGCAAACGAAAGATCCTCTTCGACTTTACGTCGTTGAAAGACTTATAATAAACCAGGTAAATAAAAGAATTAATGGGTTGGAGCTCTTAAACATTATTGGAAAATTTACCCCAGCAGAAGAAGACATTTTAAACGAACTTGCAACAAAAAAAAACCCCGTCATTTGCATATTATTGTATAAATCAAAATTTTTTTAGCTTGTTTGTATACTGGTTTAATTCCCTATTTGTTGTTATTTTTTAGTCAAATTCATTGGTTTTCTATAGAATGTCCACATTTACACGGTTATTATTTAGGTAGCTGTTACATTATGAGTAGTTTTTTCTGTCTTGATTAATACCTACTTTTTAATAAAAATAAAATATTTTACCTCTTATTATAAAAAAAAAATTATGTTCTTAAACTTAAAAAATCAAATCAAAATTTAACTAAATAATGTTGTCTAAATAAAAAGTCAAAATTAGAGAAATAATAGTGCTTTATTACATACTCGAATTTCTTTTAGTAGTTTCAGATAATTATGAACACCCCCCTTGAAAAAATTCTGCGTACGCCACTGTTAAGAAGTATTAAGAAAAAGATGAAAGAATAACTGAAAAAAAAATTCACTATTTCATGCCTACGGTGTAAATTGATTTTTTCCCTCCTTACGTTTTTTATGGCAATTTTAGCCGAGTTTGATACTTAATTGACGGATAAGTACTCATTTTAATTAAACATTTTCTTTGTATTGTAAAGAAAGAACAATTGAAAAAAAAATCACAATTTTTACTCTATTGTGTAGATAGATTTTTTTTCATCCTTATGTTTTTTATGGCAATTTTAGATGAGTTTCTCTGATACTTAATTATCGTATAAGTACTTATCTTAATTTGGCCTTGATATAAGCTAATATAGTAATTATTTTTGTAAATAATACAAAATTACTTTCAACCAGAGCTTTATAAACACCAGGCAAAATTTGAATTGAATATTGAAATAAATTTTGTGAGGCAGTAAATTAAAAAAAAATTGTAAGAGTAATAAATAGTAATCTGACGGTCATTTGTTGGTATTTGTTTATTTATCTCACTTTCAATACCAAAGTTGCTTATGCACACTTCAAATCCGTTTTCCAGCTTAAAATATCCTTTCAAACTATAGTCTGTTGGTTCAACGAGAACTGATAGTGAAAGTAAACAAAGCGGAGTGCTATTTGGCGCAATACCGTTGTCTGCTTGGCGCCGGAATAATGACAAATAGCGCCTATCAGTCAGCAAAAACTTTTATTTCTTAGAGCAGTGTTTCCCAAACTTGTGTCTTTTGTGTACCCCTTTCTAAATTTTTCGTATCGCTGTGTACCATTAATAAAAAAATGAATGTATTTTCAACTAGCTGTTGACACTACTAATTTTAAACTGTTAACTCTGCAAAAAATATTCAATAGAAAAATACGGAATCGTAAATTTTCATGGCTAGCTTTGTTTTTAAATAAACTTTTTTGAAATTTTTGTTTGTTGCAAGATATTTCTCATAAGAACGCGTACCCCCGCTTAACTGCTCCCATACCCATGGGGGTACGCGTACCACACTTTGGGAAACACTATCTTAAAGGGTTGTTTGTTTTGCCGTGGTCTTTTTGCAGGTGTTTCATGAGCTATATGGAAAATAAAGTGATGGTTTTAAGTCCTCCTATAAAACGGCAGGAAACTGAGATGGAAATAATATTGAACATTTATAAAACAAAAGTGCATTCAAAACCAGATGTTCCAATCATGATGTGGCTGACCATGCGGCTTCTGCATCGGGAGTTAGCACAGCTTCTGTTTTCAGAATTATTAAAGAATATAAAAGGGATGGTATATAACATTCACTGAAGAGGACTAAATTTCGTATAACTTTTTTTGGATGACATTGACGATTTCGACAAAAATGCTGTAAGAAGAAAAGTTCATGATTTTTTCCGCCGTAACGGAATTCACACAAAAAACAAAGTTCTCAAAGCTGTGAACGATGATTCTGATTTACCAAACTTTAAAAGAACGACATTTTATTCCCTGTTAAAAAACATAGGTTTCAAACATCAAAAATCTACCTAATTTTATTTTTACATTTTAATGATATAATGATTCGTTATTATCCATGATTGATTTAATCCTTAATACAGTAATTCTTAAAATGTTGTTCTTTTCAGCGAAGTTTAATATAATTATTTTTGTTTTCAGTACAGTTATTAATTAATTACAAAAATTCAAATGCTACTTAAAATTAAATAATTTTGATACTTCATTCCATTTTCAAAAACCTATTGAATCGAGGTTTACAAACTGCTTTTTTTTTTTTAAATAGGTTAAGTGGGTATATTTTTCTTAACTAAAGATTTTGTGAGACATATAAAAAAGTTCCAAGTTTCTTTTAGTGAAATTATTTTCGTAATACTTCCCTTAGGAAAATAAAGATAACAGTTTAAAAATAGAAATAAATGCAGTTCCTTCAAATATACGAGTATTTTTAAATCAATCGGTGAAACATAAAACTATTTTAAATATTATTCAACTTTTAATAAATTAAAAAAAAAAAAAATTGTAATAATGAAAATAAAAAGTATTTTTTAAAACATATTCTTTCAATTCTATACGACTTTTACGATGGAATTATAAAAGTTATGTTTTGCATAGATATTTATGCAAAATATATTAAAACTAATTTAATTTTAACTTATAACTACTAAGAAGAGAAGAAAACAAATTGTCCTGTGAATACACCCATGCATATGCCATGTGACAATTTATTTACAAATCTGAAAAAATACATTTAATTTTCATTATGTCAATATTTTTTCTGATACAGCACATTTTAAACAATGACAGAAAAAATTTTATTAAACTAGCCAAATACATTCATCTAATTCAATCATTTAGAATTATCATATCATTTCAATATTACAAAGTGTTATATCAATATTACATTTTACAAAAAGCGATGATGAGTCACTTAAGGAAAACAAAATTGTTACGTTGATTTCATTCAAAATCAGAATAACAACATTGCTGTGCTCTTTTCTTTCAGAACTGTACTCGATTGAATACTTTCTTGAATAAAACAGGATTGTTGTGGCTAATGTATCTATTAGGAAAAAAAATGGCTATTAGAAAAAAATTACAAAATGGTAATCAAGAATTCAATTTTAACTTCACAATTTGAATTGTTTTGAAATTAAAATAAAAAAAAAAACTGTTTATGTGTAACTTATTCCTATTTCATTTAATGGTATTTTTTTCTATTCTGCTTCTCTTTTTTATTATTATTTAATATTCTGTTCACCTTTTCATTGGTCAGTAATAGGGAAGTTTATTTCCCCTACAGGGGAGGGGAAGTTAAGGGATGATTTGGCAGCAGTTTTCACCAAGAAAATGTAAAAGCTCGCTCGAAATGGACGTTTACTTATTTTTTAAATTTAGACACATGACATTCAGGGTATACTGTCAGATTTTTCAACAAATAATAAGCACTCAAAAAATATTTTTAATCACGCTAAAAACAACATAATTATGATATGTGCAGTAATACTAAAAATTATTTCCTTTGTTTGTTCAAAGTTCATAATTTATAACCATAAAATCAACAAAATGCAAGAACATTTTCAAAGACTTCATGATAAAATAACCAGTTTCTACCATTTCTATACATTTAATTCTCTCTGCATCATGTTATGACCTTCGTTAGAAGTCCAAATGCACATGCGCAGAGCAACTTTTCCTTTGTTTACCGATTATGTGAACATGCGCATTTGGTCTGACGAAGGAATTAACGGATCTCTAGATTAGAGGGTCATTTTAGAAGTGAGGTGCTAGACTCTTGTAAGACAAAAATTTAAAACTTATTACGAACATTAACGGGAAAATGGCCGCCGGACGTTGGATTCTAGAAATTCGTTGTCTGCTGGGAATTTTTGACTGCTGAGGACGGGCAGTTTTTCGTGCACTGCAAGACTGGTTAATTGATGAAAATGAAAGTTCAGTCTTGAAATTTGAGATGAAACATTTAGTTAAAATTAAATTTTTGTTACTTGATATGCTGGAGTCATATTTTACTAAGGGTATATTTAGAGACCATAAATGGTGATTGGGTGGTAGCAGGAGTCATGGAAATTTTAAAAAAATATTGCAGTACATTCCTATACAACAGAGATGGGTGAATCTGTCTTCTCCCCAGTATGCAAGTGTTGCGGCGATCACGAATTCTGAAATTTTTTTATGGCGTAAACACTGTAAAACAAAAATGTGCTATGTTGTGCTTTTATTAGTAGAAATTTTTTCAACATAAGGGGTAGGGCGCTCGTCCAAGAGTTTGTGGGTTCAAACCTCGCCGGCCGAAGACTCTGTGTGTAGTAAATGGTGACTGATGTATGTTAAATCTGTCAAGTCGCAAAGTCTTCCATTGTTCCTATAACAAATCAATACCTCTGGGAGTACTGATCCAGGAGTTACCATGCCTTCTGGATTGGTTTAAAACTACAAGGATACACAGTTGAACATTAGTCGTAAACCAAAAATTGGGTTTCTAAAATTAGGTTGGAAAAAACTGTTCAACTACGGATAGATAAAACTTAAGGAGTGGATCTTACTATGCTGCGATCCTTAGCCCCATCATTAAATTAGCTATCATTTTTAAAAGGAAAAAAAAAATTATAGTTTAAAATAATGTTTTGTTTATTAAATTTTTTTTTGTTCGTTAGTTTCTATTAATAGCAATTGAATATACATATAATTTTATAGTTTATATATAATTTAATAATTTCATTAAAAAAATAAAAAAAACAATTTCCTTTATCGCGTCTAATATTTTAAACATAAAAAAATAGGAGAAAATATTCTGAAATGTTACATTAATTTTTTTATAAATGAAACGAACAGGGCTCAGCACAACCGATGCAGAAAAAGTAGTGAAAAAAGTGACTAAAATTTTTAAAAAAGTTACATATAGTGACTACATTAAAAACAATGTAAACATCCTGCAACATCTTAGTCCCTTAATATAACATAAAAAATTGAGCTAGATCAAGTATAACTGTTAAAAAACAATAATAATTATAATCAATTATAATGAAAATAAAAATCCATTCATTACATTACTTAACAGCAACTGAAATTTTTTGTAAAAATGTTCTCAATAAATTCACAAAATTTTTATAACTAAAAAAACATAGTAAATTACAGGCTTAACCATTAAATTAAGATAATTTTTATTTTTAAACATAACAAAGATTAAATCACTATTAGTAATTAAGTCCTGAATTTTCATGAATTGATGTCATTAATGATATCAGTTATTTTAAGTTAGGAAATGTATCCATTATTTTGAGTTAGCCTTAAAATAACTCTATCAGAATGGACTTCTTTTCTAGAGTCTTTTAATGGCATCTCCTCTTTTTCTTTCTTCATCTTCTTCCTTACTTTAGCAACACCTTGCGGCATTGCTTCAGCTAATTTAACTTCTAAATTTCTGCTAATTTAAATTCTTCTAAAGCTCTCTGTCCGATACAAGTTTTACTTCTTTATTCATCAACCTATAAACTTTCTTGTTAACATTGGGATTCCTGGTTTGTTGTTGTTTCGGCAAATATTTTTTCTAAAATATATTGTCATAATTCAATAAAAAAGTAAAATTCGAATTTTATTCATACAAGCTAAGCTTAAAACGAAAGAAATGTTCGAAGTGTAATATTTCTAATTCCAGTGTATTCAAAAGGGTTTGATCTGCTTAAATGTGCTTATTTACTTATTTGATTGATTAATTACTTATGTACTAAGCTACTGATGTATTCTGCCATTGTCATTCCTGTAATATAATTTACAAAAAACTGTTTCGTTTTACCCTTCCCTTTTATTATTGTTCTCTTTTCGATTTAAACCGCTGTAATTCTTTTTGCAATTTCGCATTCTCCCCCGTACACGTTCACAGGCGTCAGTGGAATCATTTTTGTTTGGACTAGACAGTTAGACTTTTGTAAACAGCTCTGTTCTGTGGTTTTTGATTTAATAAATTATTTTTCTTATTCTAATATATTCTAATGGATATGGAGGCCTTGTTAAAGAAAAAAAAGAGTATTAAATCATCGATTACTAAATTGCAAAAGAAAACAGAAGAGGAAATTGGGAATTTAAATAATGCGGGTTTATTGGCTCGGAAAAATAGATTTTTGGAATTTAGAACTGAGGCAAAAGATATTTTAGATTCTATTATAAGTATTTGCGAGGAAAAGGATGAGGAAACTTATTCTACGGAAAAGGACGACATTTTAGATGCGTTAGAGTCAGTACTTGTCGATATCGACACCCGGCTTTTGCCTCCCGTAGTGAATTCCAGTTTTGAGGTTAAAAACCAAAGTTCAGGCCAAGCTTCTGCCTCATCTCAGTTTGCTGAAGTGNTCAAGGCCGTTTAGATTTCGTTAAATCGAATAATGTTTGTTTTAACTGTTTAACTCGATTTCACAGTGTGAAAACTTGCAACAGCAAGTTTAGATGTAAAAGGTGCAAAAAAACCCACCACTCTTTACTTCATATCGAAAATGTTAGTGATAGGTGAAAACAGGGTGCTGTAAATAAGTCAAATTCTAGTGAACTTTCTATCAACGCTCCTGTGTTTTCGCCTGCCCTTATTCCAAGTACTAGTCAATTAAGTGATAATTCTAGAGTGGTAGATGTTACATCGTGTATTTCGGGTGTGGGGCCAGATGTTCAAACTCTCCTCTGCACTGCTCTGATCCAGGTGAGAGATATTTGGGGCAACTGTCAGACCTGTAGATGTCTTCTGGACAGCGGTAGCCAGACTTCGCTTATTACAAATGAGTGTATTGAGAAATTGGGCTTGCAAAAGGAAAAGGCCAAAGTTCGCATTTAATAGTTCTCTCACCTGGTTATAGTTCTATACCTAATAGTTAAATAGTTCTACTTTTCCTAATGGAAGGTTTGAAGATGATCCACAATTAAAAGAAAACATGACTGCCGAAACCAAAATAACCAAGTTGGTAATGTTGAATGTAGTTGATGCTACTTTCAAGGCAGAGTTTTGTCAAAGATTTTCGTCTTGGAACAAACTGAAAAGAGTAGTTGCCTAATGTTTAAGATCCGTGAAGAACTGTTCCGTTGCTGCAGATAAAAGAAATAAGTTCTTCTTAACAACGGCAGAATTGAATGAAGCCTAGAAGAGAATAGTCAAATTCATCCAGCAAGATCCTTTTCCGACGGAAGTCTCCTATCTTACAACAGGTAAACAACTTCCTTCGAATAACAAGCTTTTTCCCTTGACTCCGTTCTGTGATGATTCCGGAATCGAATGATAACTACGTAATTCAATAAAAAAGTAAAATTCGAATTTTATTCATATAAGCTAAGCTTAAAACGAAAGAAATGTTCGAAGTGTAATATTTCTAATTCCAGTGTATTCAAAAGGGTTTGATCTGCTTAAATGTGCTTATTTACTTATTTGATTGATTAATTACTTATGTACTAAGCTACTGATGTATTCTGCCATTGTCATTCCTGTAATATAATTTACAAAAAACTGTTTCGTTTTACCCTTCCCTTTTATTATTGTTCTCTTTTCGATTTAAACCGCTGTAATTCTTTTTGCAATTTCGCATTCTCCCCCGTACACGTTCACAGGCGTCAGTGGAATCATTTTTGTTTGGACTAGACAGTTAGACTTTTGTAAACAGCTCTGTTCTTTGGTTTTTGATTTAATAAATTATTTTTCTTATTCTAATATATTCTAATGGATATGGAGGCCTTGTTAAAGAAAAAAAAGAGTATTAAATCATCGATTACTAAATTGCAGAAGAAAACAGAAGATGAAATTGGGAATTTAAACAATGCGGGTTTATTGGCTCGAAAAAATAGATTTTTGGAATCAAAACGTGTAGTTATCAAAAGAATTGCATGAAAAGTTATCACCGTGCTTGAAAATAAGCAATCCATGCCAATTATCAATTTGCGAGAAACCATAACAGAAATTTCTTAAGCATGGAACTATGATGTTACAGATCATACCATTCGTAACAGTTTTGCTAAAGCTGGATTCTTTGCTGGATTCTTGCTGAGAATTTGGATGCGGAGGATAACATTTCTTTAGAATAGAAGAACTTAAAAAATGAGGGTACAGCTAAGAGAGAACCACGAACTTAATGATGATGTACTGATTAATGACTTTCTTTCTATTGACTCTGAAGCTGAAACCATCGAAACAGTAACTAAATCGGATATTTTGGACTGTGTGAAAAATAAAAACAATACAGCTATAAATTTTGAGGAAGACGAAAAAAATGAAGACTGAAATGATGAAGAAATCACTAAACTTTTATATTATGAAATGTTAAAATCATTTGAAACAGTTCGATAGTAGATAATGATTTACAAAATAAGATGTATTAATTTCTGTTTTAATTATGTCTAGTGTTTATGAATTTAAAACCTGTTTCGTGTTGTAAGAAGATGAAGCAATTAGCAAACCTTCATATGATGAAATGTTAAAATCATTTGACGTGGATTGCAGTTTGAGAATAAGGCTGAAGGAGTTTTTGGTGTATTACAAAAATGAAATTATGAGAAAAACACTTTTACAAACGAATAAACACTTTTACAATTATGAGAAAAACACTTTTACAAACGAAAAACTAAGACAAAATTAACAGACTTTATCAGTAGCAATCAAAATTAAGAACGCATTTGATAATGTATGCTTGAAATTACTTTTATAATAAATGCAGCAATAATTTTAATATATAAAAATTTAGCTTTTTTATTCAGTGGAAAATATAAGTAGCATGATAGTGTAACACTGGTTAATGTTCTGTTATATTTTTACTTTCTTTGCAGATTACTTTTATGGTTAAGATTTATAAAATAAATAATAGAAAATAATTTACAAGATAAAGGTGTATCAATTGCAATTTCAATTATTTCTAGTGTTTATGAATTAATAATTGTTTTGTGTTGTGTAAGTATTTCAAATGGTGATTTTCTATTTCATGAATTTTCTATATAGCAAACTTTTTTGTGGGATTTAGCAACCTCGTTAAATAGAGGTACACACATATATATATATATACATATATATAATGAACTATAAACGGATTAGGGGGTCATAAGACCTGTATTTATTTCATATGCAAATCTGCAGAAAAAACCCTAGAATCTTGAATCCCTTCAAATAGGCGAATAAACGCAGCCTCGTTTTCTGAAGGCTACTGATTCCAACGGCACAAGTTCGTATCCTGGAAATTCTGCTATCTGTCTGCAAGTCTGGGGTGCGGGAGCAGATGTTCCGGTCGCATGTAAACTCTCTTTACACACATAGTATCCCCAATAGATTTTGAGAGCGCTGATTGGCTTTCGCGGCAACGCTATCTGTTGATGTATATTAAATGTTGACGTATATTAAATGTATGACGTTATTTAATTAAATTAATGTTCATCGAATAAATTAATATTTCATTTATTTATTGTGGATTACTAAAATTATATTATAAAATTTTAAATTTAAGATTTATTAATGGCGCCATCTATTATTATAAATTAAAACTAAAAGATCTGCATTATGCCTACCTATTTATAACTAAATTTTAATGTTTTTTTTTATTTGTTAAATGTTTTATAATACCGAAAAACTCTTAATTGACTTCTAAGAAGTCAAGCAATTGTCTTTTAAGATGCTTATTTTATTAATTTTTGATTGCATGAATCCCATCAAAATAAAAGTTAATGATTATGAATTGTCCATTAAATTAATACCATGAGTAATGAAAGAATAAATTTACAAAAAATTCCATCTTTTAATTGTAGTGCATATTTATTGGATTGAATATATTTTTATATTATTTAATTGCAGGAAATTATTTGTTTGTCACCACAGTGCGTTTATGAAAGTGCCGCAGGAGAAATGTAAAAGAAGTATTTCTAGAAATTCTGATTGTCAAGCAACAATATCTATAAAAGTGAAGTTGAGCAAAAATCAACAAGGAAATCAGATTATTGTACTTTGTAAACTTGTTATATGATACTTGCTAGAAAATAAATTTAATTAATTATAACTAAATATTCTGAAATTTTTTTGCTGAATTATAATATTTTTTTTTAACATTTTAGAATATTTTTCCTTTAAGATATGATAAAATATTTTTCAAATAATCAAACATGATAAAAAATTTTTTATATATATATTTTAAAATAATATATAAATTTATATATACCTTAAAACAGGGATGGCGAACCAATGGCACGCTACACAATATTTTGGGCACTCCACCGATCACAATTGTTGTTAAACTATGAAGCATATGTAACAATTAAATTAAAATTCACAAAAAATAAACAAAATAATAAACAATATTAATAAAAAAATAATGCTAAAAAAACAATTAATAACCATAAAAAACAAGCTAACAATAAATAACTAGCAAAAAAAAAAAATTAACAGTCCTGCTTAAACGAACATCTTATAACCTAATATAAGTTATTGGTCATCTAATCTGCAACTACAGAAGTCACACTAATGTTACCTGAAAGTTGAATTACGCATATAACTGACATATTGCAAAATGTATTTTTTCTCACTGTAAATAAAGAGTTTTGAGTTGATAGTATTTAGTACCACGAAGGCAAAATTATTTGATGGCACGTCTATGACCTCATTAAGCAATTTTTTAGAGAAAATGGCACGTTGGTGTATAAAGGTTCGCCACCCCTGTCTTAAAATATATGATAAATTTAAATGAGTGGTTCTGCAATAATATTAATAAATTTAAGTAAGAGATTTTAATTTCAAAGTGCACAAAGATATTCATTATGCTATTCAATTTGAATATTAATCAATTCTTATATATATATTACATAAAAGTTGGTTGATAAACCTTTAATTTATGTTTAATAATTATTATTATTCTAATTTGCATATTATTTACCTTATTTACCTATTATCTATTGTAATAATTATTTTACCAAAGCATGATTGTTTACCTTGCATTTACCTAAAATTAATAACAGTAATATAAAAAAAATATTATACTGAAATGCACAAAGAATATTTTGAACAAATAAAGAAAAATATTAGAATAAAATTTAAGGCAAATTAGATACCTGTACATATTAAACACAATATATTAAGAAAAAATAATTACTGTGCTCTTGCGTGAGCTATATTGGGCTAATTTAGCTAAAATTTTTTATAAGAGAAAATTAAGAACAAAAGTCCCAGTTTGTAAAGAAAAAAAGCAAAATCCCATGCATTTCCTGTTTTTAAATTACCTGTGCTTTCCGGGTTTTCCCTGTGTAGCAACAACTCTGTTTGATATATATATATATATAAAAACATGCATCAGCAAAGCCATGGAATTATTTGCACCATGTGCTATTCCATGCATAGTCTTAACTTTATGTACTTAAAATACACATAATTGAGTGGGGAAAAAAACAATGTATCTAAAATTTTGCATGGAATTAGGGTCTGTGACTAGACAATAAAGTTATCTAAGTTTTACCTCTCCTGCAAAGTATGCCATTCCTATAATCGTAAATGCTGATTTATACACTTCTGATTCTTCATGTTTTATTAAATTTTTAATCCTGTCCAAGCCTCCATATTGTTCTAAATCGCAGCAGACACTTTTTGTTGTACCATTTTTGATAGCAGCCTGTCGATAAAGAAAAATGTTTAGAAATGTTTTTAATTTTCAAAGTATTAATTTAAAATAGTTACAAAAAGGAGCATTTAAATTTCCACCTCAAGCAAACTTGCTTTTGACATTAAACAGTGAGGAAGAATAAAGTTCGGATGAAATAAAAGAGCAGAAAAAGTGGGGGAAGAGGGAAACTCATTAAGCTACTCCTCATTTTATTCACTAAGTGGCTTAAAAAGACGCCGATTATACAGAACTCATTTTGCAAATTAGTTGCTTTTACTCATATTTCTACTAAAATAGTCGCCATAGTTGATATTGCTTTAAAATAGTTGATTTAGTCACCAATGGCAACCCTGACATTATATTTTAATTTCTTATTAGATTTAATAATATCAATATTCAAATAAAACTTGATATTTTATATTATTGTTCTAAAAATTTAATTTAAAATTATATAGAACACAAAATTTCTATCCACTAAATCACTCTATGGGCCAATTAAACTTTCTTGAGCATTTATAGATAAAACAATCTAAATTCTTACTGATTGAAGCAAGAATAAAATTTAAGTGATATTTTTTCTTTGTTTGAGCCTAGTTCCATGAGAAATCTTAATTTCTGATTATGTTAAGGTCACCTGTGACAATAAGCTTAAAGTCATTATTAACAAATTCTTTAAAATGCTCTAGCTCACATAAAAAAATATCCTATGTCATTTAAATTTTTACTACATAAATTATAATTACAAATTCTCTTTTTTAAAGTCTTACAATATTTTAAACAAACAGAATTCCTGATTTTCTTTAATTGGGAAACAATCAATAAGTTTATTAATAGTCATAGGCAGTAAACCTCTTCAAAATCTTTATCAAGAAAATTAATAACATAAAATTCTTCTTTAATTTTTGAAACATTTGCAAAAATCAAAATTGTTATAGGCATGCTTAAATTTAATAAGATCTAATACAATATATTTAAAGTCAGGGGTAGAAAATTTCACAAGTTTTAATATTTCTTAAATCATCCATTTCCACCTGCAATTTTTATTACTAAAAATAAATCCCTAATGTTTTTAATGTTAAATTCATTGACATCCAATAAACACAAAGACTTTAAATGAATCAAAATAAATTAAGTTTTATTATTGCCTTTTCTTTTATCCCTGCACCTTCTCAATTTACATGATCATTAAAAGTGTTCAATTTTCAACGCTTTATTTAAATCTAGGTTACCTTCACCATTTAATTTACTACACCATTAAGCCCAGAGGGGTTTAAAGTTTTTAAATTATTAATAAAAATATTTTCCAAATCTAATGTTAAATTTAGATGTTCTATATTTTTTAGAATAAGAATATTAATATCTGATATATTTATATAACTTTATAATGAGAAAACAAAATTCCTTGTCAAAACCATGTTTTAAAAACTTTTCTCCTAACATTTTTGTGTCATCATTTTGATATTTCAAACCATCTCAATTTTAATAATCAATTATTTTTGTTTTGTAGGTACTGAAAATGAAAATAAGTAATGAATCGAAATAAATGAAATATTTCATACATTTAGAATATTAGCTAAAGCATCCAAAGCAACAGTTAGAATTTTTGAATCCTCAACCACAAGAAGGTTACAAACAGGTGGGATGACACCAGCATTGATTAAAAATATAATCTGTTCTATTGTACCACCTGATGTGATACTTTTAATGACCCAGATGGCTTCACTTTTAACAGCCCAGATAGCTTTATTTTGGCTTTCATAATCATCCTGAAAAGAAAGAAAGAAAAAACCTTATAAAGATTCTTGGAACGTAAATAAATCAACATTTATAAGGCCAATATGTAACAGTAAAATAGTAATAATTTTAAGTTCTTATAAGATTTGTAAAATGCATTAATGCACATCAGCGTGGTGCATAGAGGTGAAAAGGGTACATCTCTGTAACTAGTCAATAGGGGCAACCTAAGGGCGCCAAGTCTAAAATTTTGTGCCGTAACAAAACGCTGTAAAGCCTTAAATCGGTTACTATATTTATTAGAAATTTCTCAATTGATAAATATTCTGCTTGAGCAGTACATTTTGCAAAATATAAATAATTTCAAACCAATCAATCAATTCAAGTTTTTTGTAATTGAATATTTATTTTCTTTACATCTAAGATATCTTGCTTAAAAATATCAAAACTATACAAAAGTAACTACCATGAAAAAAAAAAGACTTAAATATGGATTTAAACTATTCTGAATATTAAATGTTTTAATGAAAGATTTCCCTTGAAATGTGGTTTTTTTGGGGGAGAAGGGGGCACCTTCCAACTATTACATTATTGCACTTTTTTTTCAAGAGCATCTAATTAGGAATTTTGCCGAATTAGGAATTACATCTACACACCTCTGCAAGCCACTGATGCACATCATTGTGATGTAATGTTTACTTTGTAAATTATAGCATTATGTTTAATGGCAATGTAAGAGTAGCATATTGAGCTGATACAAATTGTAATTTATTTTTAATGCAACTTTATGAAATGCTCAAAGAAAAAAACTACTATTTTAAAATTCTATTCCCAAGATCTAGAGAAGTTTTAGAATAAAAGACTGTAAAAAAAATTTCAAACAAAAAGCTTGGCGGTGTCGATAAAGGCACCAACTAAAGCTGGGATGAGAGTGGACCGAAAGCATAAAATAATAAAATCCAAAATTTTTTAAAATAAAAAAAAAATAAAAAATAACTACACGTAAAAGATATGATATTCAAAAATTCACATAAAAGGGGTGATTTATTAATTATAAAAATAGAATCAAATATTTCCCAGCAGGAGGGACAAATTACACATAAATTATTTAGAAGTTTTTTTTAACAAATACACTTTCTAGTATTGAATAAATTTCAGTTATAAAAAATACCATATAATGTACAAATAAAATAAACTTGTTTACTAAGTCTAAAACCAGTAGTTTAATATTACAACTATTTTTTAGTAGACATTTCTTAGATTGTCATTTAAAACATTCCTTTATTTTGTTTTGTTGAAGGGTGGAACAACAAGAACTAAAGAACAAATTCTGAAGCTGGAATTGAAAAGGCAAATATTGACAATAACAACAACAAAAAGAACAGAACACAGCATCCTTACTGAGTCATCAGAAGATAAAAAAAAATACTGAGGAAACTATGGGGGGGGGGTTTATAAAGGTCAACCAGTTTTACCCCAAGGAATGATGAGAAACTTCAGAGGGAGGAATGATGACTTCAATACTTTCGCTTCAATATTTATTGCATAAAAATTTAAGGCATGCACGAATGGTATTTTTGTTATATCAATAGCAGGGTGCGTAGCCAAATCTTTGAATCAAAAATAAGCACTTTTTAAAAACTTTTCAAGCACTTTACAAAAATTTTCAAGCACTCAAAAAATTCATATTCAATCAGTGATATCATTGAAAAACAAAAACTTTTTGCAAACAGTTTTAGCATTAAAAAAAAAACCCAAAAAGAAACAGACGTAAATCGAAACAATCAGTACTTTCCCACATCATCGAGTGAATTCAACTTGACCCTGAACTCAGAACAAAAGTACCCGTACCCCCTACGTCAAAAAAGTGTTAGAAGTAAAATAAACAATAATAAAATTAAAATAAATTAAAAAGAAAAACATTTCATAAGGATCTGATATTCTCCATCCTAATTGGAGCACTAGGGTTTCGGTTTCAAGTCTGCGCGCATGCGCAAGTCATAACGTGGGTACGATTTGAAGTCCGCGTGAATGATTACGTAGCAAACACCCCATTTTTCGTGAAATGCATGGGATCCACCAGATATCACTGAAGGAAAAAAAAAATTATTTTGGAAAAAAAAAGCACTTTTTAAAAACGCCAGCTGAAAAATGCACATTTAAAAGCTTTTAAAAACGAAATCCCCAAAAAAGCACCTTTAAGTCCTTTTTACAAACGCTACGCACCCTGAATAAATATGCTTTTTAATTAAGCTTCAAAAAGACATACCTTACGAAGAACATCAATGACAAGATCCACAAGTCCATCATCAATAAGAGCTTGGATTTGAGTAGGCGTACCTGCAGTATTGAAGATAACCGAACAAGCTTCCTAAAAATAAATTCAAAAAGCACAGAAAAATCTTAAAACAACAGTCTTTTGATAAAAATTCAAACATTGTTCTTTTTTTTTTACAAGTTTTTACCTTAAGAATTTAAAAATATAATTTTTCTTCTGTTGTTTTAATGAGAACTGTTTTTGTTGTTAATGAAACAACCATTTTAATGAGTTCAGAAAAGTTATGAGAAAACTCTCTTGCACTCTTCATTGCTACCCAGAATGCATAGAACACCTAACAAAACCATATATTCGAATCGCACATTAAAATAACCACTTTTTGAAACGCTCAATTCATGCATATATCGTAAATCCATTTTGATTGTATTTTCAGCAGTTATTGACATTGATTTTCACATAGGGGTTTTAAATTGTTGGATATATTTCAGGTGATAATGATCACTTACTTTTTTTTCATCACATTCGAGATTTACTTATTAAGGCTATTATTTTCATAAATTTTTTTTGTCAGCTATTGATTTCCATTTTGATAGTTTTTAAAACAGGAAATTTTTCATACAATATTATTTTCAACAGTAACACCTTTCTGAAGAGTCCGATTCGCATGATTTCATTGTCGATCTGTTTTTTTTTTGTTTATTACTGCTACAGATGATTTAATTATTTTTTTTTAATGTGATGATTCTCAAAATGCGATAAAGGAAATAATTGGTGCCCCCCCCCAACAAAGTGCGAGAATATTGCCCATAATATCAGAATAAAAAAATATAACATATTCAATTAAAAAAATATATTGTTTTTGTAAACACAGCGTTCTTATTACCTTTAATTAGAAACATACATCTTTGTCATTATTGAAATGCAGAAAGATATTAGTGCTAGAGAGCTTTGTCGCAGAAAGTCGGAAAAAATTCTGCCACTGGGATTACAAAAATTAAGAGATTGTCACTTACCTCCACAATACTATTGTCGGGATGTCTAAGCAAAGTCTGAAGAGCACCCACATTGATTACTGTTTCAGCATGTTCATCATCTAGACATATAATATTCCCAACTGCACTGAGTGCTGGTAGAAGAATAGAAACTTCTCTCCACTTTAGAAGCTCACAAAGGCGTGGGAGAATACCCACATTTACTACTTCCTGACGCTCCCTGTTGCTGCCTTCAGTCAGACATGATATAGTGCAGAGAGAGTCTCTGACCACTTCTTGATCTTAATAAATATAATACATACAAGAGGAAATTAGAGATATAATATCACTACTAGAGTTTGTCAACAAACATTAAAAGATTAGATTATACATAGCTGCCAACTTGTTAAAACAAAAATAGTAACACAAAGCATGAGTGTATTAGAGGTGACACAAATTGAAAATCCCTGAAAACTTTATGTGCCAAATCCATATCAAGATATCAATTTATAAAACACACATGCTTCATACTCAGCCATTTTCCCTGTTATGTTCGTGATCCATTTTAAATTTTTATTATCTTACAAGAGTCTAGCGCCTAGGAGTAGATAAAGAAATTTCTTTTCAAGAATGGATGTCATTAAAATACATAACATTGTTAAATACCAGAAAACTTCAGTCCTCCAAGCCCAAGCTATTTATAAAGACCTAATAAATGCAGCAAAATGATCCACAATACAGCAACATACTACGCATGGTGGAATTGATGTTTTCTCTGTCTGGGACTACTGCAGCGATTGAAAGGGGCTTTTCAGCAATGAACTTGCAAAAATACACATTACGTACTGGTCTTAAACAAGAAGCATTGAACGTAATTATGAACATCTATCTAAATGGAAAACCCTTTCAGATTTCTGTGCATAAACCTCTGTAAATCATTGGCTTGATTGCAGAACTGGTAAACGTCATATTTGATTCATCAGGGTTTCCACTCTTTTTAACAAAGCGAAAATTAAGTACTTATAAGGACTTTTTTGAAAAATTAAGGACCTTAAAAATAGTGCAATTACTAATCATCGAATAAAAATAGCAGGGCTCATGATAGTTAGGACCAGGCAATTTTTGAAAATACGGCTCTAGTTTTTATAAAACATGTTCAGATTGTGAAGGATTAACGACATCTATGAAACTTATCAGTATTCCCTTTTTTAATAATTTTGTTGAAATTGAATTGTAAAACTAGGTGCAGAAATTAAGATTTGTAATTTTTCTCATACATTAAAAATAAAAGTAAATACAGAAATTTGCGAAACAGGTTTTATATTTCGCTACAAAACATGCATCACATATTCAGTTGTGGATTAATCTTAGTAAATATTCAGTTATGCCAAAAAAATTCTTCCTTCTCTATTACAGGGTTCATACAGAGACCAGAAGAAGAAATCCAAGGAGTATCCAATGAGTCCAAAATTTCAAGGACTTATCAAAAATTAAAAAACTTAGCGTAGAAGATAACTAGACAATTTTTTTATAATTAAAAAGCAGTTATTATAAGGAATTCGCAAAAATGTATAGTTTGCATATTTTTTACTAGCCCTTTTGAAATAAATTTTGACTTTTTCAAACTTATCACTTTTACACATAAGTACATTTTCCAGCTTCAAGAATTTTAATTAATCTTGTACAGATGTTAAAGATTATCATAAAAACCTACCAATCTTATACCTTTAAATTTGAATACATAAGAAAATCTAAGGCATTTTATAAAAAAAAAAAAAAAAAAAAAAAAAAAAAAAAAAAAAAAAAAAAAAAAAAAACACAGAAAATTATTATTTAAGTTTGCTTGTAACATGTAAAATTATTTGCTGTTATTTTTTTCTTCTAACTTGCAATGAAATTTTTTTTTCTTTTAAAGTTTTTCGTAAACTATTAGATTTTGACAGCTAAGTCATATCACTTTGTTTCCTTGTTTGGACAACAAAACATCAGCGCACTTAGTAAATTCATCTATGCAACAAATTAAGTTCCTAAGTTTCTAAGGAGTAATTTAGAAATCTAAGTAGTTACAAGTACTCCTTGGACACTTTTATTTCTTATCCTTTAACACTTATAGGAGTATAAGGAGTCTGTACGCACCCTGAAAATGTTTCATTTATAAGGGTATTTATTAAAAGAATTAATACTAAGAAGTTGAATTAGAGTTATGCATGAAAGTAGTTTTATTATCTATGTAATGTTAAATTAAGTATATGTTATTAGGCCATATTAATATCTAAGCAGCTTAAATCATTCCACCTTTTGTCATTAGGCTTAAGTCAATATATATATTTTTAAATTCATTGCAAAAATGTATTTTTATAAAAATTTTATGGAATAAAAATACAATGGACAATTACAGTTGAATTTTTTTAAAATTTTAATGCATTCAGAATCCCTCAAAACTACCAGAAAATATTTTATTACTTTTCTAAGAAAGCTATTTATTTAGTTATTTTCAATTAAAAAACGCTTACTTTCGTTTTCGCCTGAAACGGGGAGTCACGCGATTATTCACGAACCGTTCATTCACACGCCGTTCACTTACAATAGCTGTGCTGTGAAAACCAATACGTTCTTGCTTTCGTTTAAATTTTCTAATTAAATCCAACCATTTCAGATGGTCTAAAGCTATCTGTATAAAAAATTGCGCCTTAATATCGCTTAATAAAAATGCGGATTTGATATAACATATTTTTATAATGTTGAATTTCAATGGTACCCACTGAAACATTTTTAATACCTGACGAAATTTTCTAGCTCAGAATATTTAAGATTTTTTAGTTCAATAAAAAAAGTGCATGGTACTGCTTATGAATGATGCGTTATAAATACAAAATAACTTCGTTTTTTAATTTTTTAACTATAATCTTAATTTTAATGTATACTTCAAGTTCATTTGGAAGATTTATTTTCATCTTAAGTGAAAGAAATGTTGGATCAATTTCTTATGTAGAATAAATAGTTTTAGATTTTAAAATGTAGGACAGCTTAAGTTATTGATAATTTTTATCTATTTATTCTAGCGTGAATTCAAAGCATGTAATTGTATTCATAGCAGTAGCCTCTTAAAAAACTTGTGATCCCAGCAAAACTTTAAATTCATATATATTGTATATATATATATATATTTCTGCAGATTTTATTAACTTTACTTTAATTGCCTTAATCTATGTTATAAGAGTATTTGAAATCAAGCATATGCATTTATTTAGTTCTTTATTGCAGAAATAGGAATAAAATTTTATAAATGCATATAAAAATAATTTTTCGCTATAGCAAAGTTCCTATTTACTCAAAGAATAAAAATATTGAGAAAAAATATCAACATTACTGTTTATATTTTAATTATTTAATAAATAATACAGAACGTGCATTAAGATTTCTTTCCATTTTGTATAAGTAAATTTTTTATTTTTGTTCTCTAGCTTTAGTGAAACAAAAACTTCCAGCTTAATGATATTCGCTGAAATTTTGTGGATAAATGGGTTAATTAGATATGAATAAATGAGAAATTAAGTGAAATTTTAAGTATAACTAGATTATGGTGATGGTCAGATATATTTCAATGGACTAGATTCTTGAAAGTGTTGATACGTTTTCGGCTATACCGTATGCATAACCTGAGATTTTTTAAAAAGTATTTTAATAAATTTTTTTTAAATTAAAAATGTATTAATTTTACTATTTTAGAATTTTTCATTGCAAGCACTGACAAATAGCTTGTAAAAATAAGGAGAGAAATTAACAATAACCATACTTTATTAATACTATATTGCAGAAAAAGGAATTAAAATTTATAAATAAAAATAATTTCGAACTGTAATGGAATTCCTATTTAAGCTAGGAATAATAAATCTAAGCGTTAATATGTATTTAAATATTTAATACATAGTGAAAGAAAAAAAATTATGACATAACCTGCATTAGTAAATATTTACTTAAAAAGAAAATCCTTCAACTCTAGTAATAAATAAATAAATTAAAGAAGCAACATTAAATTACATTATTTGAATTTTTGATCATTAGCACATAGATTATAACGATGATGGACTGATATTTTTCAATGGATTAGATTTATGAAAATACTGATTTGTTTTAATGCAATAACGAATTATAAAATCATCCATCCTATATCAAAATGTATAAAATTACAACCCAATCTGCGACCTATTTTAATTAAGTAATCAGGTTGTAATGAAACATTATTTTAATTTAAAAGTAAGTGGAATAAAATAGTATTTTCTATGAACTTTAACACCACTGATTTCAGCCGAAAAGAAATGTTGATTCGCTGTAAAGAGCTACATAATCATTTCTTCAGACATTTTAATGATAAATAACAATGTTTGAAGTTTTAAAATCTTTCTTTCATTTTGCATACACTCTTAGAACTGTAAATTTAATTCACAAAATTTTTACTGATAATTTACAAAGGATGTTCATACGATATACATGATATCAAAACTAAAAGAGCATTGAAATAGCTTTAGCGGATGGAGACGGCACGTTTCCATTCGGCACATTTGACGTCATAACCAATCAGGAATCGTTTTTGATTGCATCACTCACGGAGGCCTTTTGGGGCAACTTAAATGTTTAAGAACTAAAAAAGATTAACATTTGCCGAAAAAAACAATCAGATTTTCGGTTTCAGGAGAGAATTTCCAATAAGTTAGGTATGAAAATAAAAAAATTTATGATATGCTGTAATTGTCCATTATGTTTGATAAGATTTAAAATTTTTAAACCAATAAATTATTTTTTTTCATGATTTATAGATATTTACTTGTAATATTATTCTCTACTATTATTATGATTTGATATTTTATTTTTATCATGAATTAATAGTTTCGAAAAAATATATAAAAATTTTTTTTTATGAAAAACATATTGAAAACGGAATGTAACATAACCGTTTTGAAATTATTACTTAACAGAAAATGTATTATATTTACTTTCATGATAAGCTTAACAATTATTTCCAGCCAAAACTGATATTAGGAATTAACTTTACATATTATCATATTACTAAACAATCTGGGGAAAACATGAAAAACTAATTTTAAAGCAACCAAAAGTTAAAATCTAAGTTTGAATTTTATTCTAATACACATCAATAAAAAAAGTTTAGGATCTTTTAATTGAGTAGATTTAAATTTTTATGTACAATTTGCTTATCCTTAAGAAATAAAAATAATAGCATGACAATCTAAAACATTAAAAAAATTACATTGCAGTAAAACGAAATATAAATAGTTACCAACAGGGTTCATGTTCTACTTTAAAAATAAAATTCAAGTACTTTTCATGACTTATTATGAAATTCTCAAGGACTTAAATTTTAGTAAAAGATAGACTAACATTTAACATTTTAAACAAAAATGTTTTGACGATAATAGTTAGCTGACGATAAACGTCAGACTTCCATTGCTCTCTCTTGATTTCGGAAAGTGATATAAGTATAAAAAAGCAAGGGTGATTGGCATCAAATCAAGAATAAAATTCATGACGCATAAAAATGTCGGATTTGAATTTTGCATAAGGCCTATTTTAAGCTAGGTATACAATCTCTGAATAAGCAAAGATTCGGGTAGAGGACGGGAAGGGTGGGAATGTTCTTTATAATACTGTGATATCAATTAGATATTTAAAAACTACTCTGCCGGGAGATTTTTATTAATATTTAAAGTGGCAGAAGCATTTAGACAGTGAAATTTAAATTGTTTTTAAATATAATTTTGACCACTTTTCTATAACCACTCATACTTGAATAAATTTTTTTTCAGTAGCATCGACCATACGCATTTGACACGGTCACGTGAATAAGAATCGCAACGAGTTGTTTTCAAATCTCGTATAAATACAAAAATCAATTTTTGATATTACAACATCGATGTTTGATATTGCAAAATGCGTGAATACAAATAGCGACATTGGATTTTAAACTCGCGGAAAAACTATTCGCGATATTGTGGTTTAAAAATGCTTAAGTACAAATCGCAATATTAGATTTTTAAATTGCTTCAATGGGAATTGCGAGTACGATTTTTGAATCACGCGAAAACAAATCGCAACACATAACTTTTAAATAAGTTTAATACGAAGATCGATGATTAATATTAAAATCGCCTGGATAAGAATCAAGATTTTGTCAGAATCTGGCGCAGTTCCCAATATTTAAAATTCCTAAAATCAGCCCAATATACATAAAATCCTAAAATCAAGCAGTACATCATCTGAAAGGCGGGAAAGTCATTCTCTCACACTTACGCGTGTCAAAAAGTTAAACACAGAAATGCTGTAAATAAAATTTCCTGAGTTTTCAATACTTTTCAAGGTCATTTTTCAAGGATTTAATATCATTTTCAAGTACTTCTAGGGGTAATTGAAAATCAAAATGAAATTCAAGTACTTTTCAAGGCCGCAGAACCCTGTACCAAACATTTAACTTTTTTGTTAGGACCAAATCATGCATTCTTATTTAGTACTCAGGTATCAAGTATTTTTGAAAAACTTGATGTTTTCATAATAAACCTAATAAATCTCAGGTTTTTGATGCAAAACCTAGGTGGGATGGGATTTTCTAACCCTGTTTATTACCGATAAATTTAATTTTTAGTACAATCACGAATTTTAAAAAATGTTACTTCTTTTTATAAATTCATGGTTACTTATTACACATTGAAATATTATAGAAATTTATTTAATTCTTTCAAGATTTTTTAAAACTAGTTTTCGTTATGGAGTATGTAAGTGACGCACGTGGCACTTACATATGAATGTGTTTTGCCAAACCAAATGAACATTCCTCCAAACTGGTAGAATGTAAACAAAAATTGGGAAGATGAGGATTTAATGCTCCCAGAATTAGTGAGAAATACATTCAGAAGAACTGGTGATTCTTCCTGTAATTAGTGATTTAATCAATGATAACAGTGATGATGATGCTTGCAGCTTAAATGAAATGAACAGTGAAAGTGACAACAAAATATTTGATAAGAAAAAAGTACAGTATTTTGCTCATATCAAATTTACTGGTAAAAGATCTGTTGCTGCATTTGTAGTTGCGTTGAAAAAGTTGATGAAGATGAGTAATAGTTATCAATTTTGAGAAGAATGAATCAATCTGCAGCATTTATCCCGAAAAAGAACACAAATCATAGTACATAGATTCAAATGACATTTCGTAAAAACATAAGCAGAGCAAAAAAGCTTTGAACGTTCTTTAGGTTTGGTATTTGATTCTGAACAATTGGATTTGCATACAAGAAGTTGAAACTAACAAAATAAAACTTTATTAACAAAATTAAAAAATGTAAATTTATTTAGTTATACAGTGTAACGTCCCATATCTGGACGTCCCTTTTCCGGAAGGGTCAATTTCCGGGACACTTTTTAACAATCAAAATAAACAAACATTTCTTCATCTTCCCCACTCTCTTAAAAAAAAAAAAAAGTATTTTGACAGGTTTTTTCCTTTCTTAGCTTCTAGTGATCTATGCATTAAACCCATAAATCAACAGAAAAGAGAACAGAAGATCTACCAAGACCGTACCGTTAGTAACGCTCCTCCTCTGGAATGCAGGAAAGGGGGGGGGAGATTTGTTTTCAAAAGAGCACAATTGAGTCCCCTCCCCCCTTCTTTCCTGTGCAGCTGGCTAGTAAAAGAGGCATTTCCTGGAACCTTTTTGATAAAGTGTTAGGGAAAGAAGTACTGTGAAAAAGGGTAAACACAGCAAACGTTAAAGTGGAGGGGGAATCCCCTTTAGTCACACAAGAAAAAATAAAGAGAACCCAATCAGCATGCCACGCCTTTATGCTTGATTGATAGCCAATGACAGGAGAGAAAATAAGAACTTGTCACTTCCCCCCCTTCAACTTGAATGACAAGTAAGAAGGAAATGAATTTTGCTTCTTCACCTACCCACCTTAATGAATGAATGACGGGAATTTCCCCTTCTTGCTTGAAACGTTCTAGTTCAAAATGGCGGAGAGAGCAATTAATATTTTCATAACTGTAAATTTTTTTAGTTTCCTATATTTATTTTTATAATAGCAATAATTATTTTTTTTTAAATATTTTGTTTTTGATTGATTAGATATCATTCTAATACTAAAACATTATTGCCCGAAAAATAATGTTATTTAATTTCTGCTTCTTAGATTCAGATCATTTTAATCTCTGTTTACCTTGGGGGTCTATTATACGGAAAAATCGATTATCCGGACTTCGGAAAGTCCCGCCGATTCCGGATACGCGACTTTCCACTGTACTACTTTTAGAAAATTTCTACTTAACTTTTCACATCTTTTTAACTGTCCCAAGGAGCCCCACTTGGAGGTTCACCTTGGGACAAATAACAAGATACAGTAGAGCGCCGATTATCCGAACCCTTATTATCCGAACCATGTCCGAATTCACTTTTTTTTAATAACTTATTGACAATTTTTCTAAATTTAGAAGAATAAATAATACCCACTACATCTGAAGACCATATTTAATTTACAATCTTTTTTAGCAATTTTCTTATAGTAGCCAATACATACATGTATTGTTATACAGTTAAACCTACGTACCCCTTTATCTCTCTTCAACTGAAAATTATCTTCCAAGAATGCGAACTTCAATTTGACAGTCTACAATGGTTGAAATGAGGAAGGAACTTTTGAATAGATGTGTACTGAAGTTCTACAATTGGGGGATGGGTACTTGTCCCTTATGGTTAAGGATTAGTGATTACAGTGCTTGGAATCTTAAATCTTGGAATAAAATTCTTAACAAAAAAATAAACGAAACTGAAGTTTCTGAACCAGTAGACCTTGCCGATGAAAAGATGCCAGGTTATACAGCAGAAGAAATAGAAGGCTGGTGTCGAGGCACTGAAAACGACCCAGGATTTCAAATTTTAAGTGGTGATGAAATTGTTGCTGAAATTTTGAATGAAAATCGGAACTCCACAGACGAAGAGGAAGAAGTAGGTGATCAAATTCAAGATAGTGGACCGTCTCATATAGAAGCATGCAATACATTAGATATTGCAATAAATTGGCTAAAACGTCAAAATGATGTTGATCCAGTTCAATTGATTTATTTAAAAAGAATAAGGGATATGGCTGCTCAAAAAAGATCATCTTCTTTGAAACAAAAGTCTTTGCTTTATTTCTTTTGCAATGGAAAATAAAGAAAAATGTGGTAAAATCAGTAATTGATAAAAAAAAAAATTATGAAAAGCTGAAATATGATAAAAATAATTCAAAATGAAAAAAAAAGTCTAAAAATAAAAAAATTTTTAAAAATTGAAATTTTTTTTTTAAAACATGACAGAGCTATTTTAGATAGTACTGCCAGTCCTAAGCCTAAAAAAAGTGTGAAGGGAAGTTAGTGCATAAATAATAATCATTTAAACTAGATTTTAATAATGCCACGTTCGGTCCCGAGCAGTTCGGATAATTGGCGCTCTACTGTACATAACTAAAAAAAATTTACAATTTTTTCTATGACAGATACGAAATCAAAACCTAGTTAAAAATGTTTTAAACTGTCACAAGAATACCAGGTAAAATTTTGACAATATTTGATCAAAATAAAAAAAATAAAAAAGTGTCCCAAGGTGAGCCACTCTCCCCTAATATAAAATATAACACCTAAGTATTTATAAGCTAAAACAGAATCAATTGGTATTAAAATCTTACCATTGTCATTTATCAGCTCAGCAAGACTTGGTAGGACCATCATGATAGCGTCAAATGGAGGAGGCATATTAATACAAATGTTTAAAAAAATCCCTGTAATATTACGTCGCAACAGTGGCTAAAATAATAAGAAAAATTTAATTTTGTCACATTTATGTCAATGTTGTATAAAAAAAGCTCTTATTTCAATCAAAAATATGCTTACTGAAATATCTGGTGTCAGTAGTGCTTGGAGTGGAGGTATAATATTATTTCCAATAATCAAGTCGCAATAAACACCATCACCTTAAAATATTAAACTGATATTGAAACTGCATATTTATATGGTGATATTGATGAAATTGTATATATATGGAAATACCTCCAGGTTTTGAAGATAAATATGGCAAAAATAATGTGTGCAAATTAAATAAAAGTATACATCAATCTGGTAGAAATAGGCATATAAAGTTAAAAAATGAAAATAAAGTTAAAAAAGATTGGTCTCACTTAACTTGCATCTGACAATTGCGTATTTACTAAAATTAATGATAATGACTTTTTCGCAATTTGTGTATACGTAGATGATTTGGCAATATTTTCTAATGATTCGAAATTATATAATGATATCATTTCAAAACTTAATCAAACATTTGAATTAAAAGAAACAAATAACGATTCAAAATTTTTAGGCATTGAGATTTCACAAAAAGAAAATGGAATTGGTTTATCTCAAACTCATTACATTAAAACTTTAATGAAAAAATATGATTTGGAAAATTCAGGGCCGTCTTAATAGCATGAAGGGCCCCTGGGCACGTAAATGGTTTGGGTCCCTTTAACATGAATTACTGCTTAAGATTGAAGTATAAAAATTTCACAAACATTAAAT